CGGCGGCTCCGTGCGGTAACGGGGACAGCATTAACCGTGTGCCGCTGTGTGCAGGACGGCGCATCCGTGCACTGCCATGCAGCTTCCTGCGCTTCTCCTACCTGTATCGCCTCCTTTTTGTAACCTCGTTTCTGAGGGGGTCTGCGAGGTGTTTCCACGGGGCCGAAGTTACGCCGTTACTTTCCGTTACGCGGATTGAGCTCAGGAGCGGTGTTACTCTCCAGCTAAAGGTCCTGCCAGTTGGCTGTGTGCAGGACGGCGCATCCGTGCACTGCCATGCAGCTTCCTGCGCTTCTCCTACCTGTATCGCCTCCTTTTTGTAACCTCGTTTCTGAGGGGGTCTGCGAGGTGTTTCCACGGGGCCGAAGTTACGCCGTTACTTTCCGTTACGCGGATTGAGCTCAGGAGCGGTGTTACTCTCCAGCTAAAGGTCCTGCCAGTTGTTCTTCTGCCCGGGAGTGAGAAATTGTCACAAAGCCAGAAATTCTGGGTTATCCGCTACTTTCCAACTAGTTGAGTCAGAGCGTTTGCATTTTCCTTTACACCTTTTAAAATTAATAGCTCTGTTTTCTTGTTGCATTTTCTGTGTGAGACGATGAATGTATTGCCCCAACCCGTTGCCAAGTGTGGAGCTACATACAGTTAATAAAGTCAAGAGCAAATAAAGATAAAGTCATAATCCTGCCTAAGTTGACACCTAAGGAATATGCAGTCTCAGCCGATAGCAGGAGGAAAACTCATTCATGTGGCTTTGGTTTTCCCTGTGTCCTCTGTACATAATGCCTGCCACCTTCCTGTGGGCCATGAGCTAGTTGGTGTTAACGGGAGCAGCTCTGCACAGGTGCTTGCAAGGTGGCAAAAGACAGTCAGGTGAGGCGCTCCCTTGAGTTCCCTCAGGGTTTATTGTTCTGCTCACTAGAACCAGAGTCTCAAGACTGTCTTATTAAAAATAAAGAACAGAAACACCCAGAGCAATAACTTTGTCAGGGACTGTTTGCTATATAATACACTGAGGAAAATAGGAAATTTGCATTAAACTGTTGTTATTTTTTTGTGTGTGTGTAGAGTGTTGTTGTTTTATCCGCAGTGGGTTTATTTGTTAATAGGGGTGTTGCAGCTAGCTATTTCATCAGCTAGTTGAATGTTTGGTCATCTTCACTGGCCTAGCTAGCATCTCTATCCTAACTTAAATTCTAGAGAAATGAAGTTGGTGTGCCTCTTTCCAGAAACTTCTTCACTATGCAGTATCTAGCATAAGATGCTCTGTTGCTAAGCTATATCTTGTGTAATTTCATAAATCATCATTATTTTCTGTATGCTGCTTTTCTGACAGTTTAAATGTTGTTCAGCCTCAACCTGAATAATTTGGTATTGTTTTGATTTCTATTTAATTAAGCTTTGCATGATCACCTGCATAAAAGTTAATCTTCTCATATCAGTTAGAAAAAGCTTACCAGTCTAAAAGGCTTTACCAGTTTTTAAGTTTTTATATTAGTTATTTTTCTGTAGTTTTATTTCCAATCTTAGTATGTTTATGGTCTGTTAAAATGATGCTGAATTTCTATATAAAAGTAATTAAATGAACAAGTGTGATTCAAAACTATAACTTTTTTTTTTTCTAACACTGAGGAGAGTTAAGGTTATTATAGTCCCCCAAAATAAAAAAAAATGCCTGTTTCCTTTAAACTGCCTAGGTGCATTCGGAGGAGACACGGAACGCAAGCAGGAGATGGAAACGCAAGGCAGCCTTACGGTGTGATGCAGTGGCTCGTGCTCTTCCAGTTCACGCCATACCCGCTCTAGCAGCAGGGCAGCTTGCATTAGTGTCAGGTTGGAAATTCCAGCTGAGCTGCTGGCTCTGCCAGGGATCTTCCCTAGCTTCCCCTCTGCCTGTTGGCAAGGGCAGCCCTGCAGTACCCGTGTGTCCAACGTATATCACAGGAGCACAAAACAGTTGGGGTTGGAAGGGGCCCCTGGGGATTATCCGATCCAACCAGAGTCCCCTACAACAGGTTGCCCAGGACTGTGACCAGTTGGATTTCTCCAAATACGGAGATGCCACAACCCACACGAGCAATCTGTTCTAATATTCAACCATTCTTGCGGTGTGAAGTGTTTCAAGGTAACTACAGGTTTTTAGATTCTTAACTAGATTCTTAATGACTCAGTTCTGCACTTCATGGATGAAATCTGGGGAAAAAAATAAACATTAGTTTTCTATTAGTCCTTTCTTTTTGCATTTTGAATTTACTGGAAATTGTACAGTAAAATGAGACTGGATTTCTGATGTCTCTTAGATTGATCAAAATTTTAAAACTTTGAAACATGGTAGGATTTATATTCTGCCATTCATTTTTTCTGTTGTCTTAAGCAAATCATTAAAATATCAGGGAGTACTGCCCCTGGCTGTTTCTTCTCAGAGGGTTCATGTGCCTTTCACTCAACTCTGGGTTGTGTTTACATAGCATGAATTTTGTCTTAGCCAAAGACCAAGGTGCCTCTGAAAAATATTTAAGCCAAGGGCTTGAAGCAGGAACTACCCTCCCCAGGCAACGTCAGGCCTAAATGTTTTCTGCCTGTGCTCCCTGTTTACCAGAACTGCACCTTCCCGTGCCTAAAAGCCTGTGCCTTCAGCAGAGCTGCAATAACTTAATTGCTTTGTTTCTGCACACAAGACTGTCGGGGCAACTGTGTTTCTTCTCGTTTGAACTTGTTAGATTAATTCCCTTTTCTTTTCTTTTTTGTTCATGTCCTCTGGCTTATAGAAGGCCACTTACGTGTTTGCCTTGGTTTGTCGTAGACATCTGTTATAAACAGTTAACTAGTAACAGCAAAGTGTTACAAATTAGACTCTTATTGAGAAGGAAATGGAGCGCAGTGCTGCAGGCAGTGCTGGCTTCCTGAGCCTTCCCCAGAACTCTCTGGAACACGTTGTGTCTTCTAGGAAGTAGAGCAGCCACTTTAGTGAGCCCTGAAGTGGCAGCCGGGAAGTAAAATCTCCCTGTTTCCTCCTTGATGGCTTTGAAACTTACATCCTTTAAATACCCCGTACTCTGGCCTACAGTCATGCTGGGGAGGGGTGGGGGGTAGGTAGGATCCACTGAGGAACATTCTGGTGATTCCACCTGCTTTATAAGAAGGAAAATACTTAATCGATATTTATTGTTATTTTTTTTTCTCTCTCCCTGTCTCTTGTTCAGTTTTGTTTTTGAAGTTAATTTCTATGGTCATATTAATAAAGTCAGTCAGAACAGTGAAGTAATAATTAGACTACCTTTCCTTCACTTTTTTTTTTTCTTTTGAATTATAGGAAAGCAAAAAGAGCAACTGATCCAGCCCCTCCAGGTAAGTGGAGCATTTTTTTTTTTCTTTTTTTTTCTTTTTTTCCCCCCCTTTATAGTACCAGCATTTTATTTGATTTTCAACCTCCTACTAAGTTGTGTATTCTATATACTAACTTCTGATTTCTACTGAGAGCAAAAGTTTCAAGTTTGCCTCTATAATATGTGGAAATAAAGATGGGGGTCGTGTTGGAGTCTCTTATACTATACAGTATAGTATACAGCTGTAGAAAGTGCAATTAATTTGACTGTAGAACAAAGGCAACTGTTATAATTTTGGAGGTTTAAATTTGGAAAACAATATAGCTACATTTTTCTTAGAATCATGGAAGTTATTCACCTCAGGTAGACTTAGAATCGATAGTATTTCGATAGTTTTGACCTTGCCCTTTTATGCCTTAGTTATATTTTTTTAAACTTCATTTTATTATATATATATATATATATATAATTTTTTTTAAGGATACTTCTTAAAAGAATCATGCACTATAATAAGGTTGACAAAAAAGCATGCTATGTTTGTATGCAGTAGGAGTTTGTATCTTGCAGTGATAAGGGACAAGATCCCAGATCAAATGTAAAAAGTAAATTGAAATGTTTAATAGGCAGTATCTGTCTAGAAATGCAGGAAATGTAGGAAAAACATCACTGATGCTGTCACTTAAGCATTTTGTGATAAACAGACCCAGGGGAAACTTTATGCAAAAGGATTGTCTTAATTTTGGTTTGTCTCAACAGTCTAGCACTTTTTTAATTTGTTTTAACTTTCTCATCTTTTCAAACCTCATCTTTTTTTTTTTTTTTTTTTTTTTGTGTTGGTAGCTACAGGTGAAGTCTGCTCAGCCCTTGAAGGCACTAGCACAAAAGACATGCTGTCTTCTGACATACAGCATGCTGAAGGCAGGTTAAATGTTCAGAGTCCTTAGCTCCAATGAATAGTACTAGGGGCATGCACATTTTTCTCAGCAAACTTGCATAGATTTCTTTCTTTTTTTTTTTAAGGAACTCTTAATCTGCATGTGTACGCTTCAAGCAAGTGTTCAAAAGCCTTTTACTAAGCATTTGAGATTGTGTCTGTTTTTATGGCTCCTGACATGTAGGGGAATAAGAGAAAGTGGAAGAAGGTTTCTACAAGGCATTGGTTAATTCAGTGCATGATTCTCTTTTACAAGTCTTCAGGAAGATACTCTAGAGGCAAGCTTTGAAGCATGCAGTAATAGTTTTCAGAATGTGTACTTAATGTTTAAAATTTATATATAAAAGTAAAACGATTGTTGAAAGCTGTTTGTGTAGCACATTTAAAACAGTTCTATTAAACAATATAACTAAATATTAGTAAATTATGTGCAACCCTTATTATTTTAATGTTCTTTATATTTTGAACATACGTACTTATATATTCTGCTGCTGTATGTTCTTCTCAGAATAGGGGGATAAGATGTAAAATAGACTTATGACATTTTAAATAAGAACATGCATGAAAATATCTTAGCATGATATAGAAAGTATAGAGTGAGTGAGTCAGGGAAGTAGCAAATAATACTGCCAAGATAATTTGATGCTTTTCCTCTGCTCAGCTCTGCTCCTGTTTCTGAGGGTAATTCAAAAGACCACACTATAATCTATGAACTTATTTTGCTACTGAAAGCAATTTAGATGAGGAAGGTTTGTAGAAAAATGTATTACTGTGGACTACAGTAGGAAACATTTATTTGAAATGTGCGGATTATCTAAAGAGATAATGTCAACGCGGGAATAGTGTTTGCTTGTACCAGGGTTACCATCCAAGATGGCTGTAATTCTACATAATGGTAGCTGTTGGCTACTTGCATACTTAATTTCTCATTTGGTGGGGTAGGTAACGTTTTGGTTGAGAAGGCATCCAAGTTTTATTTTGTTTTAGGGGAAAATAATATTTTTACGCTTCTCTTTAATTGTGATATTCTGTCTTATAGAGTAGATAGTTCCTAGCAGCCTTTTGAAATTAGGATAATGTGATCACAAACTTCTGTCTTGAAGGTGTGTCCTCTGTATGGTAGTCTTGTTTCTTATTTGTCTTGGGCAATAAACAATCCAGAAAGAAAAGAGCAGGCAAAAGCAGAAGATGGATTTTCTTCCCTGGCAGCTACACTTTTATTTGATAGGCTGTAAAGTTAACCACCCAAGTCATTTAAATCCGTCAGAACTTTACCCGAGTCCGAGTTCTTTTTTGTTGTTGTTCACCTCCATTTCTAGCTATGGTGATGTCTTTATGGTATAGAATAATTTAGGACTCGAGATCATGTTATGCAAAGCCCTGCTCGAAACAGGGCAGACATGAGAGCTGGGCTGTGTTGTTCAGCGACTTGTCCACTCAAGTTTTACATTTGCAGGGATGGAGGTTCCACAGCCTCTCTGGGTAACCCAGTCCAGTGTTTAATTATCCCCGCTGTTGTTTTTTCCCTTACATTTGCTTGTAAGTAGCTTACTGTGGTTGTGAACATCTCCTCTGTTGTGCACCCCTCAGAGCCTGTGTCTTTGCTCTCTGGAATGGTGCAGTAGGCAGTGCAAGACAGCAAATATTCCTCCTTTGCATTCCTTCTCCAGGCTGAGCAAACAGAGCTCCTAAACATTCCTCTTGTTTGCCACGTAGTCCAGCCCCGTAGCTGTCCTGTGACCCTGCAGCACGCTCCAGTTGGTCAGTGTCTGTCCTGCCTGCAGGGATTCGCAGCGGGACCCCGGACTCCGGCTGGAGCTGTGGAAGTGCCAGTACAGGAGGGCAGTCCCCTGCCTTGCTGCGCTTGCTGCGCATTGCTGATTGAGCCCGATACGCAGGTAGCTTTGCTTGCTGCTGCCTTGACTGCAGCTGCTTGTCCACCAAGACCTATAGGTTCTCCAAAGCTGTTTTACAGCTGGTTGCCCCTCCGCCTGCACTCTTGTGTGAGGCTAATACAGTTCTAGCAACAAGCTTTGTGTTTGCTTTGTAATAGGTGAATACAATACCTGCAGATTTGGCAGGACTTAAGCCCTTTGTTTTCCCATCCTCTTGGAGTCAGTTTCTGTTTAGGCTTATTATGCTCTACATATTAATGGAATACATAAGTGAATTTTCTATTTTAAGTACAAAAATTACAGTACTTGAAGATGATGATATTTTTTCTCAGATGTTGGTTGGAATTTCTTTACAAGGCATTATTTTACAAAATTCAGACTGTGGCCTGCATTCAAGTAATATTGCAAAGTCCAGGAAATGAATTTGTCTCTGACCCTTTTCCAATAAATTATCCCACAGGACAACACTTTTTTCTTTTTTTTTTTTTCAAAAGGATTGATATCCATAAATAAGATGATGTTAAAATCCCCAGGCTTCACAAACCTTCACAATTAACACACTGAAAGCAGACATCTACTTCATCTACATGTACATGTTTTGGCAAGACTATTTTGAAGGAGAAAATGGGCAGGCAGGAAAAAATAGTCTTTACAGACTGGCCTAAAAAAAAAAAAATACTACCAAGGGAATGGTTTGGGTGAGGTAGTTGTTTTGACATGTTCTTGTCAAAGATTGATAACCAGCAATAGTAGTACAGTGAAAAGTGTCCCATATGTTAAACAGAATCTTTCTACTCTTGGAAATAAGAGGCTTTTGATATGGTCAACCATTTCTGATACAGTTCTTGTATCCATAATATATTTATATGCATGCATATTGTATCTATGAGTTAGATATTGGTACCCCAATACTGAGATTTAACAGAGTTGATTTAATTTGTTATTTTGAAAAATATTATTTTAATTACTATTTTAAAAACATCTTTTAAAAAGATTCTGAATGATGCATAGTTTAGCAAAGACAATATGCTCTTGGAGTGACTTCTAAGCACTTGCTAGAGTTTTAGGCAAGCTGTAGGTAGTCCTAAAGCTTCAACGATGATATGCTAAAGTTTTAATTTGGGAGTATTCAGACTTGCCCATGACCTCATTAATATTCTTTTAATCAAAGTTCACAGCTTTAATAGCTCCAGGAATACTGAATTCCTTCAGAAACTTGAGACAGGTTATGAACTCCTTGCAAAGAACAGCAGAACAATCTCCATTCCCATTTTGCTTTGGCATCCGCTGAATGTTTTTCTGCATTGTTGCTGCCAAAAACTCTCAAGTTTCTAGCAGTCATTCATCACTTCTTGGCTGGTGATCTCAGTCCTAATATCCTTATTCTGTTGAACATATATATTTAGAAGTGACACCTTGGAATCTCCTGCACTGCATGTTTTTGCTTCTTTGCCATTTGGTGCCCCACAGCCAAGGATACTGGACTCTCCTTTCTCCTTTAAGTTATATTTAATAATACAATAGTAGTGACAGTAGGCAAATTCCTTTGCCCAAGGCTAAAGGACCACATAGTATGTCCTCTGCACCTAAAGCTGAGATACTGTCTTTTAACATATCTGCTTAAGCTGGCTTGAGCTGTTCCCTGTCTAAACAGTGTACCAGCAGTGCAGCCTCGTAGGATGCTTGGGCAGCTTCAGAAGCCTTGCTGCTGTTCACAGCCAGGCTGCTAGGGCAGAGATGGGCTTATTCTGCTTACTGCTCTCTTTAATGATAAAGTTACCTATTTACTTGCCAGTTCAAGGAGAAGTCAAAGCTAATGCTGTCAGATCAATGTACAAATTCCCATACATAATGCTTGTGTTTCCTACTGGTTAAAGCCGCAGATGGACTAAGGGTGCTGATCACTGCCTGGCTAGTCAGACAGTTTGATACTTCCCCCGACTTTATCATTTGACCGTAGAATAAGAGAACTTCAGGGATGATGTTTCTTTTGGGCCTGTAGAATGACGGAGTGGCCCAGAAGGGTGCGAGGGACGCACTCTCCTTTTGCTTCTCCTGCCCAGGGGTGCGCTTCCCTCTCCTAGAGAATTGCCAGGCCAGCCGTATTGCACTAGCAGATTCATTTTGGTTTTCTGGAACCTGAAGGGAAGTCAGTAATACAATAAGGTCCAGTAACTAGGTAAGTCAGAGAAAAGTGGAACATAAACTAGAGTTTTTAGCCCTCCAGCAGATCGAAATGGTTGTGGGAAGTTCCTAGTGGCTAGGGGGAAGGTTCCCACTCCTATGTGCAGCTTTCTATAACCATGTGGGATACTTTCTCCGCTCTGGGAGAAAGGTAAAATCCATCTGGTGGATGGGTTGAAGTGGGTATTCCAGAAAGCATTGCTTCATGGATGAATTATAAGTATTCCTGTCATATTGTTAAGTTATATATTGTTATATGGTATCCAGGTAGATTACAATTAATGTCTCTTTCAATTGCAGTTCATTGCCATGAAAAGGAGGATATGATAGTTTGTCCTATGAAATCAGCTTACATGTGAAATTTGGCAGGTATGTTTATCTCGGTGTATACAGCACAAAGCAGAATAGCATTAATATTTATTACTTCTTTCTTAAATATTGCTTACTCTATAAATAAATACTAGCTGTATGGCCAAAACATTAATAAAATACGTGTTTTTGTGGTTTTGCTTGTGAAAGATTATATAAAGGACAATTCATTAACTTGTAAAGATAATCTTCCAGGATCATGAGAAAAGAAACGAATGACTTTCTCATGTCTGTCTGGAGTATATTCCTGGCTATTCGGTTCTATCTATGGCTTTGTTCTTTTTCTGTGGGAATTAGGTAATTATTGCAATATATATTCATTTCAATAGTTAGCTGTCTTGCTACATTTTCAGTTAGTTTTTGCAGTGAGTTGTGTTATGTGCATATACTTGTATTTCCAACTGAGGTCCATGTTCAGGACCTTCTATGTCTTTGGTTTTGTGCATCTTCCTTACAGAGACTTAGAAACCATACTCTGAAGCCAGGTGTCATTGAATCTCTGGTATTTAACTAACTCAGGGCAGACAAAAGGCAGAAGTTCTTGTCCAAGGAATATTGACATCTACTTCGGATGTTGATATATGGATAATTTGTTGCAATTCTTGTTGCTTCTCTCTCTTCATCTTCTGCTCTCATTTTAATGCAGGTAACACACGACCTGTGGAATATGAGTGATGACAAACCCTTTTTATGCACTGCCCCTGGATGTGGCCAGGTAATGGACTGATTTGAAGTTATTAACAAATGTGGGATAGAATTGAAACAGTGAAACGCATTTTCAAAGACTGTAGGAAAGGAAAAACTAATTAAATTATCCTGTTTGAGCTTAAAACAATTTTTGTAGTCTTGCCTTTTTTTTTTTTCCTCCCTCATCCTGCAATCACCCTGTTTTGTATTAGGTAATATGCATTTTTCAGAATATTCAAATGTTAGCCATTGTGAAACTTGCAGTAATTCTGTCCTTAAACATTTTAGGAAAGTATCTTTTTTTTTTTTTAATCACTTTGCAGTAACCTAAAATTTTGGTGAATTTTTACATCCATTGTGACTGCAAGCATCTAATGGCGTAGAACTTTGTAGCTGTGTGTGTATATGTACATAAAAGGAAGATGCTAACAGTATGCATACCATGAAAAGTTTTGATTCCTATCATAGATCTAATGTTTGATTAAATAGTGTTAGCAGGTGGAATACTGAATGTGAGCTGAAAAGAATTGTTACTAACGAGGTTCTTAACAGATTGCTTAAAAGGAAGCTGTCTTAACACTTTAATTTAGTAACCAGAAACTGAATGAATCTAGATTATCTGATGCATGATTGACATATTGACATCCCTGCTGCCTTTATATAGAAATAATTTATTAAGCAAGCTGCATTTTTTTCATTATGTTAATATACTAGGATTTATTTAGATTTTAAGTTCAGCCTATTTTCATTTTTATTCTGAAGACCTTAGATTTTACTATGGTTGACAACACAAATATTTCATTAATGGATCCTTTAGTATTTAACGTGCGAAAGGCTTAAGATTTCTGATTATGTCTGATATGTTTAGAGACGTCAAAATAGCAGAAGAGGCCTGCTTTCTTCTAAGTAATGTTTGTCCCGACGTTTTTGCAATCTGGCTTGATGTAAACCCTATCAGAAGGATTTTGGCAACTAAGCGTCCTAAAAGATGCATCATGGGGCTACAACAATCCTCGATGTCAGTGAAGGAGGAGGAGGAAGTTTTCATGTCCCTGAAAATGGACAAGGCTCCTCCAGGTGTCAGGTTGTGTTTAGAACAGAGAGGCAGCCAGGCTCCAGAACACCATTCCCCTGCAGAGGAGCCTGTCCCTCTGCTAGTGAGGACGAGAGGATGCACTGAAAGTGCCTTGGAGTGAAAGAGCACTAAGTTGCTGGTTTATATTGGATAAAGAGATATAGCAAAGGCACCTGTAGGCAGCTGGACATTCAGAATCCATGACAAGCAAACTTCTAACAAAAAGTATGTCCTCTCAAACTTGAATTTTTAAATGTCTCCTGAGCTCCACATGTTTATCTCCTTTTTTATTACTTTATATTTATTTTATTTTTTTTTATTTCACTGAAATGCTCTGTAAAGCTATGCTTTAGGGTCAAGAAAGCCTTTTGTAGTGATTTCTATGACGCTTGATGGGTATCTGTTACAGGATGCTTATGGAGTAAATTAAACTACTGGGGAGGAGTCAGAAATATAATTTGGGTTCCAGAGTAAGAACCAGAATATTTCTAAAAAGTGGCTTGGTTTGCTTGCCTTTTTTAAGGAAAGCTGTATCTTGCAAAACTTTCTTAGATCGTCTCAATTAGCTAACTTTCCTCTGTTCCAAATGCATAGCAAGCTTCAAATTATCCTGTGTAAGGGTATCTATTTTACAGCACTTAGTTTATATGCTTAATGCTTTTTTCATAAGTTGTTTCCAAAATTTCGGAGAGAGCATGCACAAAACTGGAGACTTCTGAAAACTTGACGGCTTTTTAAGTTAAGTTGAGTCCATTTGAAGACTTACACATCTGTACTTGCAGTGGTATTTCCCATTCTGTTTTTTATGTTAGATAGTGAACAGTCAAAGGCAGGAACTATATTTTCATTAGCTTTTACACTCTTAAATACAGCAAAGTCAATGTTTGTGATTACCGATCAATTTTCATTATTATGATGATGCAAACAATACAGAAATCAAGTAGTTATAGTCAATCACTAAACATTGTCAGGCTCCATTACTACAGCAAATAGTTCTTTGCTAATGGTTAGTGAAGTCAGCAGCACTCTAATTTTATTTTGGTCTTTTGATGAATGCAAGTACTTATATTGCCATTTCCCTAATATTGTTACTATGAACATTATTTATTTGAGTTTTGTGGGTTTTTTGGTTGGTGTTATTGATCAACAAACAAGAGTTGTTTGTTAGCAAGCTTATAATAATTCTACATGTTGTAAAAAATGACTTTCTGTAGAATTGTATTCACTTTGTTCACATTCAAAGTTACATTTTTTTTTAAACTTTCTGCCACAGCGTTTTACCAACGAGGATCACTTGGCTGTCCATAAGCATAAACATGAGATGACACTGAAATTTGGTCCAGCTCGTAATGACAGTGTCATTGTGGCTGGTTAGTATATACTTTTTTAATAGTTCATTCACTTTTCTGTTGCACTGTGCATACATTTTGTGTACTTTCTGTACATTGTGCGTAGATTTCTGTGAACAGAGTAGAAAAGGTTTTCTCTACTGTGTTTGACTACAACATGTGCTTACTGCTTCCCTTCATTAGTAACTCTTGTTGGGATCTGAAGCCAGTGTTTCTCATATAAGCTATTAAAGACCATGCCTAACATGATCTGTAACCAGACTTGAACCTGTTTATGGCTTAGTCATTCTTTGCCTTTTAATTCATAATAGATGTAGTGACATCAGAACAATCAATCAGTAATTCTTACTCTTTACATGGGGTAGGAGAAGGAAGACTTTCTAAAATGTATTAACTGTTTTGTTTGTATAGGGTGGAAGGTCAGCACCAATGCAGAATTGTGTTCTGAAGTGCTATGTTCATTCAAGAACTTTGAACATGTTAACTATGTGAAGTTGTAGTTGGATTGTATTTCAGTGGTGGAACGCCTTAAATGAATTTCACAAAGACTTAAAGAGCTTTTCAAAACATTTTTTTTCATCTAAGCAACTGATTTGTTATGAGGAGCAGACAAGTAAAACTATGCTGCTCTTGAGCTGACTGTTGCATGTTTTAAAATACTAAATGTGATCTTCAACAACTAAATAAAAAGGTCACCTGTCAAAACAGAGGTGTGAGAATGAAGCCATGGCAGCTTTCTCTGCAACCGTATTTCAGTGTATGCACTATCAATCAAAACCTCTCAGCTAAGTCAGTAAGATTACATATGATACCAGCTATAACACTTTAAATGCGTTTATGTTGTAGCAAAACCTGATAGGGCATGATTTCTAGTGGAATAAGGAGAATATGAGTACTACCAAAAACCTTATGGAAAGCCACCTTTTGAAAGTGATTCTTACAGTGGTCAGTAAAATAGCAGAAGTCTTATGTTTGCGCTTGTATGAACATCTTAGGAGTTAAGACAGTTTTGTGTACTCCACCAGCTTTTACTTGCTTGAGAATAACTGCTACTGCTTTCCCTCTGTGAGAAGGGGAAAAGCAAACCAGCCGTGAGCTGTAAAAGCAGCTTTCTGTTTGAATGTTTCCTGTTCGAATGACTTCATATAGGCCTCATCTTTGTTTGAAAATAGGACTTCTTCACTACAGGAGAGTGTAGCCCAGAGCAGGCACCTGAAAACAGTCTGCTCTGGTGCCTGGATGCAGCCAGGAGGGAACACTCATCTTCCCAGCTGTGAGGGGCTCTGCTGGTTCTCACTCTTCAGTGACTTGTTTCCAGCAGGTGGAGTAGCCCTTCTGCTTGGCCTGCAAGCAGGACAGAAAGGAGCATGCTCTTGAGAAATGAGAGACTTTTTAACCATAAATGTTATTTCTATCTTTATGTCTTATCTCTATTATTTGAACTGAGGAAGTTTGCTCTGTAATCAAACCCAGAAATGAATGTCATCTTACAAAAACTAAATATATCAATGTAAATGCTCTGTATCAGCAGTGCTGTTTGTTTTTTAATTCAGGTAATCCTTTTCATCTCCATTTTTAACTTCCTTCCTATAAATAGCTATATTGTATTGACCAGATAAGAGTGAGGAGAGAATTCTGTCAAAGAAAAAAGCAAATTAAGTGACAGGTTGATAGTAAAATTGTAATGCAGTGCTATCACAATCATAGAATTTAGGTTTTATGACTCATTCCAGGGCATACTGAGCTTTACTGTATCAAAACAGAAACCAGTGTTCTTTTTATTGTTCTTATTTTGAGCATGTTAGTCTGATTCTATATGCAATAAGAAAATCAGCAGAAAACTGAAAAATATTTATTTTAAGGATTTCTTCCCCTAACTGCAATCTTCAAAATATGTACCTCATAAAGTCTTCTTAAGAAAAATGAAAGTGAAGCCATCCCAAAGCTGCACAAAATTTATGCTTTTCCATGCACTTTTTTTTTTTTTTTTTCTTTCTGGAAGACAGTTAAGTAATTGCAGTTGATTGCCAGACAGCTTAAGGTGTTAACATTCCCATTCTTTCATTATAAATTCCTTTTAGATAAGTGAGTAATGAACCCTAGTTTATTTTACAATTTTATGTAAACAAAATACAGACTTCTTAAATGTATAAGGTACGTAGATACTTTAATCTTGCTTTTAAGTAAATTTAAAGAATAAACCTCATTTTAATCAGATTTTTTAGACCGTTCCTTAGAGTAAGCCTGGATTTTAGCGTGTTACCTATATTTATTTAAAAGATTAATTAGCTTGATAAATTGGTGCTCCTTTCTTTGTGGAAAAAAAATACTCTTAAGAGTGTTCATATTTTTTTAAACAAAATTATGCTTTTTCTTTTTTCCTCACCTTTCAGATCAGACACCAACACCAACTAGATTCTTGAAGAACTGTGAAGAGGTTGGCTTATTCAATGAACTAGCAAGTCCCTTTGAAAATGAATTTAAAAAGGCATCTGAAGATGACATTAAGAAAGTATGTTGACAATATGGAGTATTTTCTTGTAATGCTTTTTCTTCTCAAAGATTGCACTTTTTGGTATCAAAAATGCTTAAAAATCAAATTCTGGTTTCTATATTGTCTTCTAAGCTATACCAATAACTACTGTCCAACTGCTAATGTATGTTGTACAGAGGTTATACAAATTTAAGATCTATTCTTCTCAAGATTAGTTTGCCTTATGAATTTTACAGTGACTTAGTTCTTTGTGTGCTATACATCTGTTGATATTACTCAGTAGTTTTGATAGAAACTTCATTAGTTTCTGAACTAATAAGCAAATGATTTGAAAAGTAACAAGGTTTTGTAGGAAAAAAGTGCTGCTGCAAGAAAGCCATGTGAAAAGAATAGTGTAAAGCACCAATTATTTTGAATACCTATAGTTTTAAATATAGAAGTGATTCTTAGAGTAAGCAGTAATGATAGATTTAAATCCTGATTTAAATTTAGGTTTTTCTTTTTTACTATACAGATTGAAATTTAAGGGAAGTTTGGAATTAATCTGTTTAGCAAGTCTGTGTTTTCATGAACAACTCCTCATTTGTCTAGGTTTAGAGCTCAAACATGCAAACATGTCTTTAAACAAAAAAAAAATTACTTAATGTGCCCTTTGAGTAGGTTCTGTCTTTGATCAAGTATTTGATTAGCTGCCATATGAAATAACCAAAATTTTATGTAAGTTTCAATTTTATGTAGGTTTGAATAGGCATTTATAAATATGGTGAATTGCTATCCATTTCTGACAAAAATACTCACTTTGTTCTCACAATTACTTCAAATAATACTTTTTGTTAGGTTTATATATTTTTAGTCCTTTCTGTGTCTTTGAAAAGAGATCCCACTTGAACAATTTTCACTTTCCTTTAATAGCATTTTCAGTAGAAAAATTAGGAACTGAATTGCATGAGAGCATGTGGAAAAGCATAGTGGATGATGAACTTTGAGGGAATGTTCTAATGCTTTCTGGCATAGCAGGCTAGGCAGCAGTACATGAGGCTTTTAGATTCAGTAGCATTGATTTAAATATTTTTCTAACTGTATTTCTTTACAGTGTTTTAGATATCCACACTCCTTCCTTATAAGCTTCCTGTTACTCTTGGGAAAGGAAAACTTTAAGAGCGTTTTTAATTCTTGGAATGAAAACGCTTGGTCTGGCATGTTGAAGTTGCGTGACAAGGTATTATTGAAGATTAGCATTTATACAGGTGCTGGAAAAATAGACTTGACTTATGTTTGCTTCAAGATCATCTGAACGTTGGCTCCTCAGTGGTGCTATGGGCTGATATTTCTTAGTTGTTCACAGTATTCTTGAGTATTGTTTTTTTGTGTCTGTTTGACTAGTTTTATTTTACACTGTTGCTCTTAGATGCCTCTAGATCTGTCTCCTCTTGCAACACCAATTATAAGAAATAAAATTGAAGAGCCTTCTGTTGTTGAGACAACTCATCAAGATAGTCCTTTACCTCATCCAGAGTCTACTACCAATGATGAAAAGGTCAGATTTTTTTTTTATTCTTCTTGGAATTCATTTTTCATCCTCTGATGATCTTCGAATTTGTTGCACATGCTGAGGCAGCTGCAGTACTCAACTGTTGGAAAGAAAAGATTTTTGTTATGTTAGATTTCTATGAATATGTAGTTAATTTCTTCATTCTTTATATAGCTTTGTTTGCCACAAATATTTCTTTGCATCCCTCAGGTCATCCAGCAAAGATAGAAAGGAAATCAGCTTTAATATTCCTTTTCTGCCTTTTTTAAAGGGGCGGGGGGAAGCCAAGTGACTCTGTGTTCTACATGAAATAGCACACATGAAAGTGCAAAGTGCATTTTTTTTTTTTAAAAAAGAAAAATAAAAGCTTTTGAAGTCTGAGTTTGACTCTTCATGTCTACATTTGTGTGTTTATTTTACCCTAAATTATTTTGTAAAACAGATGATCTTGTGAAAAATACAGAGATGAATGAGCTGTCTTTAAAAGTTAAGTTCCGAATAATTTTGTTTCAAAAGCAATACTCTTTGTAGGCTAGAGCAATGTATTTACAAGTGATGAATGTGGGTGCTTGCAGCTTTTATGTTTACCTGAGTATCATAAAAGACCAGGTTCCTGAAGCGGGGTCTAGCCTAGAGGATGTTGCTGTCAAGTCAGTTTTAGAACTGCTGCTCTACAGAAGAAATAAACAGTCTAATAATAGTGATAACTTAGGTATGTGAGCAGAAGTGTTTTCATCACATGGAATTCTCTTGGAGAACACCAAACCAAGCCAAATCAATGAAATGAAGTATTGCTGCTCCTAATTAAGGAATTAAAAATAGTATGAACAGAGCATAATAAGCACTGCGTCTTTTCTAGTTGGTCTTTTCTATGGGCAGCCTGTATTTGAGGGACTTAGCTACCTTATTCCCCTAGATCAGCAGAATCTTTCTCCTGCTCAGAGCAGTGTCAGCTATGAGGTCAGAGTAACTTGGGACTTTATCCAGTCTGATTTTGAAAGCTCCGTGGCTGGAGACTGCACAGTATCTCTGAGAGAGGGGTCTGGCTGTCCTCATGGTGAAGAAGTCTTTCTTTATGGCCACTCTGTATCTCTCTTGCTTCAATATATGCCTGTTTCTCCTCACTGCAAGATGTAACAGTGTGAGAATTCTCGTTAAGTGTGTGATAGAAAACTAACAGTTTAATAAAATTTTGCTTTGTGTATGTCTCTTGAAATCTTCACTGGAGTTTTATAAGATACTATATATACTATAAGATGAGTAATAGCAGGTAATCAAGGCAATCGTGAAATCAATATATATGTAAAAATATAATTAATTTAAAATAATATATGTAAGAGCTACTTTGATGAAGCAAGTTGTAGATTTTCAATCAATGAAAATTCTTAGTCAATTTTTAGTTGTCTTTATTTCATAGTTTACCAAGGTTACTTTGTTTTCCTTTGTGAATACTTACCATTAACAGTCTGGTTTTGGCAGGAGTTAATACTAGTCTCTTATATTACAGAGTAGTGGTTCAATATCTCATTAGCATCATTACAAGTGAAAATTATATCTAAATACTTGCCAGTGGTTATAAACTCATGTCATTCATGATGTGATTTCAGTGTTGTCACTGTATTGGTGCTGAAGTGAAAAGCTGCTTCTGCTTAATGCTGTTCTGATGTCTGATTGTAGAGACAAGCTGAGCAAGGATGAGGGTGCTCCTTGGAGTATGCTGCTGCTGAATGTGGCCTGCAGAAGTTGAGAAATGTGAGCAGAGTGCTGTTTTCTCAGTTAGATTTTTACATTCTCCTTCTATACATGCCCTGAAGGAGGAAAATTATTTTTTCAGGGCATAGCTGGATTTCAAATCTATGCCACTCGTAACCCTTTAATTGGCTGAATGTTTTAGTAGCTTTAAATGATTACAGCCTGTTAATGTATGTGCAAAAAGATTCTAATTTTCTTTCTATCTATTGAAGGAATTTCTTAGGGAGTCTTTAAAATTATACTGAATTCCTTTTCTTTATTTTCTAAGAGAGTTCTCTTAGTTCCATTAGGCTTCAGTAACAGTTGAAATTCTGATTGGAATGGACTAAGATATCATTAGAAATAGAGGCTTTCAGCCTTAAAATAATAAGCAAATGAAACCTAATATATTCTTTGAGAGCTTGCAAATTCTTTACAGATTTTAATAATATTTTGAAGAGGAACTTCATTGCCAGATAGCTGATTTCCTCATTAACTGAGTTAGAATCAGTTCTTTTCTAACAGTATTCATCAGTTAGCGTTAGTTGTGACACTGAATTCCATGATTTATTTATAGCAGTAGGAAGTTATTGCATATTTGCTTTTAGGTACAAAATACTTGCAAATATGCATCTCCTGAAATAGCTTCCTTAAACGCAAGTTTCCATCATCTGCTGTGCTGCAAGGTCATGTTGCCTGCTCGAGCCCTTGTACCCGCTAAGCTGGTGTTCCCAGGTATAAGTCACTGCAGGT